GTAGGAGAGCGGCGTTGTTGTGACTTGCCCGCAGAAAGCACGGAAAAAGTGAGCGGTAGTAAATAATCCGGTGACATAACCTCCCTGCGGACCACACGGAAGAAATCCGTCTCACCGCCGTCCTCCAGTTAAGAACACGCTGCCCAGTGAAGTGGACTTGCTTAATTCGAAACTAGAAATAGCAACAGTTGGGTGTTTTGACAGATGCTGTATCGGTACAATGCCTCCTTTGCAGTAGTTCTGTAACTTGGATTGGTACTATTTGCTCCTTAAACAAGAGGTTTAGCGAGTAGCCATAGTTTAATTTCAGCATGTCATGAGCAATTTGGACTGTATTTACAACAGAAGTGAGATAGTACTAAAAACACAACCCCTTGATGTTGATACATCATGGGCTCAGACTGTCTCTGGTTCCCACTTGTTGCAATAAAGCATGGCATCTGCTCTCAGGAACTTTTTTTTTTTAAGCAGGTAACAAAACAGGTGTGACTCTGACAAATCATTCTTAGTGCACACAGCTGAAGTACTTCCTGTTTCTAAGGAAACTACTTTGGCATTGGCTGAAATTATAGGTAGGGTGAGTCCAGGTGGGGTGACTCTTCTAAACAGGAAGCAAACTTAGTTGCTAATAGGCTTGCTTGTCTTTTCTAGGCTTGTTGCCTTGATTTTTTTCTGCCCTTTTGCTTTCAAGTTCCCTGTTAACTGTTGATGCTGTTGGCTTGGTGTCTCCAAATCACTCATAGCCAGCTTGCTGTCTACCTGTCTCTCCTCTTTGGAGATGTTTAATTCATTTTAATTGATGCTGAAATGGCTGCTGTTGGTGTTAAGCTGAGTAAGTGGGGGAGAAACTGTGTAAACCTAACTTAGGAATAGAGGACAGTGATATTTTGTGAGCCCTTGATGGGACATCACTAAATCACGTTGAGAATTCTTATCACTGAGAATCCTGGTTGAGGACATCACTGTTTTAGCCAGATTTATCTTTTTTTTTTTTTCCTATAGACATCCCTGCTGTATGAATACTGCAGTTCTTTGACTTTTAAAATAGCATTTAACTGTTTCCAAACACTTTTTGGATGGTAAAACAGTACAAAGCCTTTGAGAACAGGTCCCTCCTTTCCTTTCCTCCAGCAGAAACTTTATGCTGCAATGTTTGAAGAAGTAGGAAGTGAGAGTTTCTTGGGTTTTTGTTTTTTGTTTTTTGTTTGTTTGTTTTTTTTAAAGAGTCCAGGTTGAGATGTGGGATGCCTGAAGCAGCCATGTCATGCTTGGTGCATGTGTGGTGTATTTGAGGTAGGTTCCAAACCTGAAACTCAGCTGGCCTGAGTGTATGGGAACAATATTGGTGCTTAGCTCAGCCACTCCATTGTGACTTGCAGTTGACTGGAATTGTGTGCAGCTTTCCAGTACATAGCATGTTAGGGTGGCTTTTCTGTGTGTAAACACCTACATTTGAACTGGTCAAACTAATTGGGAACTTATTTTATTGCTAATGTGCCTTACACTGCAAGGTTTTTCTCTCAGAAGATTTCAAAATGGTAGATGTCCTGAAATCTAAAGTATAGTATAATTCAAACCCTTCTTTCTC